AAACGATAGATTTTTTGTATAGGAAAGAAGGAGCAAACCACACCAGAGCATCCGCCAACCACCAACACATTTCTTTTGTGTTTTTGGTCCAACTGCAATGAACGAGGACTAACTTAGCGTAAAGTTTTAGAAGTGGATGGTTGGCGGGTGCTCTGGTGTGATTTGCTTCTTCATTCCTATCAAACATATCCCCCCTCCTTCTTTTTCGTGTTTGTTACTCTGTTGTTACACTTGTAATCTTCGGCACTTATATGACCTTATTGTGCTGCAAGTGCCGTAAAACACTTACTAAAACAAAGTTTTGAAAGGGAAAAAGAGAGAGACGAAAACAAAAACGAAACAAGAAAGCTGAACTAATATGAATTGAATGGTATTGGGAGAGAACTATAGCAAATATCTTTTAATAAAAAGATGGGGGGAAGATTAGTGATCAAAACGAATTATTGCAAAAGATGTGTTCAAAGCGAAAAGAAAAATAGTTTGATGACTAACAAACTAACTAACTAACTCACTAACTCACTAACTCACTAACTCACTAACTCACTAACTCACTAACCCACTAACTCACTAACTCACTAACTAACGAACTAACGAACTAACGAACTAACTAACATACATAACTAACTAAATGAATAACTGATTGACTGACTAAATAAATAAATAAATAAATAAATAAATAAATAAATAAATAAATAAATAAATAAATAAATAAATAAATAAATAAGTAAATAAATAAATAAATAAATAAATAAATAAAATAATAAAATAAAAAAAAAAAATAAAAAAAAAAAAATAAATAAATAAATAAATAAATAAATAAATAAATAAATAAATAAATAAATAAATTTTAAAATAAATAAATGAAGAAAGAAAGAAAGAAAGAAAGAAAGAAAGAAAGAAAGAAAGAAAGAAAGAAAGAAAGAAAGAAAGAAAGAAAGAAAGAAAGGAAAAAAATAAGCAGAAAGACAGAAAAGAGACGGGAGGTTGAATGAAGTTGTGAGGATATTCCAGACTCTATCTGCGCCAGATACAAGAGTCATAATGATATCTGTGCCAGATACAAAAGAAACATAATGATATATGTGCCAGATAGAAAAGAAACATAATGATATCTGTGCCAGATACAAAAGAAACATAATGATATCTGTGCCAGATACAAAAGAAACATAATGATATCTGTGCCAGATACAAAAGAAACATAATGATATCTGCGCCGGGCCATCTCTTTGTGTTGGATGTGGGGAACAGAATCTTGTGTGGGTGTGGGGGACAGAACAGAATCGTGTGTGGGTGTGGGGGACAGAACAGAATCTTGTGTGGGTGTGGGGAACAGAACAGAATCTTGTGTGGATGTGGGTGTGGGGAATAGAATCTTGTGTGGGTGTGGGTGTGGGGAATAGAATCTTGTGTGGGTGTGGGGAACAGAATCTTGTGTGGGTGTGGGGAACAGAATCTTGTGTGGGTGTGGGGGACAGAACAGAATCTTGTGTGGATGTGGGTGTAGGGAATAGAATCTTGTGTGGATGTGGGTGTGGGGAACAGAATCTCGTGTGGGTGTGGGTGTGGGGAACAGAATCTTGTGTGGGTGTGGGACAGAACAGAATCGTGTATGGATGTGGGTGTGGAGAACAGAATCTTGTGAGGGTTTGTGGAAGAGAATCTTGTGTGAGTGTGGGGGGCTGTGTCTCTTCGTGCAGAACTGGACGCATTTGCCGCTCTTTGACTTGACAGCTTTATGGCTAGTCCTTCCTTAAAGTCGGAACACACTCTTTCAACTAGTCGAGTCTGTTTGATTTAGTCGGGTAAAGCGTACGGCTGTCTCGTCGGCCTGCTGCTCAGATGAAATTAACTCAGAATTTTATTATCTTTTTCCCCCCCCCTTTTTTTAAAAAAGAAATCACTTTCGTAAACTAGTACCTTTGGTAAGTGCTCGAAAAATAATAATATTAATAATTAGTAATAATAATAATAATAATAATAATAACAATAATAATAATGATAATAGTAATAATAATAATCATAATCATAATAACAACAACAACAACAACAACAACAATAATAATAATAATAATCATAATCATAATACCAACATCAACAACAACAACAACAACAATAATAATAATAATAATAATAATAATAATAATAATAATAATAATAATAATAATAATAATAATAATAATAATAAAAATGATAATAATAATAATAATAATAATAATAATAATAATACATGTATTGAATAGATAAATAAATAGCATTTTTAGAGTGCATATCTCCATTTTACAGCAAGCTCTATTATTCAATTTTGTCGATATTCAAATTATAAATGTGGAAAAACCAAACTGTAATACGTAATGTTGATGCAATGGTTAAAAGATGGAAACAGTTTCTTTCCTCCCTCCCGAAAAAAAGATAATGCTGCTTTCTGGGCTAAGAACATTACGTTTTTCCAAGTGTACGGACGTAACGCGGAATTCAGCAGGAAAAAAAGTAAACTGTTTTACGTATTTAAAAAATGTGGAGTTTTCTGAGGAACTAGTTATGAGTGGGTGGGTGGTTGGAGGGTGCTACTGATACTTACTTTTTCCTTTTTCCTTCCTCTGGTATCCTTTGGATGTCGAGGGGAGGTGCAGGTTTCTGTCCTGTGCTAGGTGTGTAGCGTCTGTGATAGAATGTTAATTCTTCTTCTCTTTTTCTCCATTTCTTTTTTACTTCAGAATCTGTCCCTTTCTTTTCCCCCTTTCTTTAGTTTTTAGCAGTTATTTATCCTTTACCGGCTTGCTAGGTCCTTTGTGGGGTTATTGGTAGTTTTTTTTTTTTATCTGTCCCTGTCCTGTGTTATTTCCAATGATCTATCTTATTATTATTATTCTCCCCTTGTACTAATTAGTGATCGCCATTATGTCAATATGCTTCTTTTTTATTCTTCCTTTTACTTCATCACAACACCGAGAATTAAGTCAGACCCTGTCTGCAACCTCTGATTCTTTAGCCACAGTTAAGACTGTATGGTCGATTTTAAGACACGCGGGCTAAATCACATTTCAGTGGTTTCCAGAATTCTTGATCTACACCAAACGTGAGCATTGTCCTTTACTTATAGGAGAAGTTTGGTTTCATTGGTGTGTATATTTGTTTGGTTATAGAGAAAACTCTCCATGTCTTTTTTTAAACAAACTGAACAAGGCCAAGGGTTCAAAAACATTTAACTTTCATTTTCTCAAAACAGCATTTTTCGGGATAGCCACATTGTGCTTGAAAGCAACCGTATAAAGTAAGACCTGTCCTTCACTCCTTGCAGTCAGAAAATAACAGTTCACAAACTGGAGTTTTACGGCACTTGCAGCCCAAATAGGTTGTGAAAACACCGCGCGAGCGCGAGCTGAAAAAAGTCTCATGTGTTATCCTTATTGCAGAAGAAAATATTGGGGATTGTAAGCTCTGCCTCCCAGCATATTATCGTCATAATTTTACTTTGTTGATGTTATTATTATTATTGT